ATGATAACTAGATGCCTTCCTTCTAGTCTTTCACTGCTAAATTAGGGACGGTTAGCGCAGACAGCCCTCGTGTAGCTTTGTGAGAAATTCAACACAAACTATACCAAACGGTCCTCTCCACGACACGTGATTAATAACGGACTTTTTCAAAGGGAAGGTGAATGTCATGATATAAAAGTCTGTTTGGTTTAAATATTAGTGATTAATTTATATATTTGGTGTGAATATTTTATTATTTTAAGTGTTGTTATAATAGAAATTAAAAGCAGACGGTTCTGTTAAAAACTAATTGGTGCCGAGAATATAGAAAGTGGCCAGACGACTATGCAATAAAGATAAAATACCGTGAGACGAGCGAGAAGCAGCAGACAGACAGTATTAGATAGATAAAAGCAAAGGGAATATAGTTGATGTGAAGTTAAGAAACGTAAAAGTGATAGGCCTAACGTTTAATAAATAAGTAAATATGAGTGAATCCAACAGTGGAAAAGGAAATAAGAAAAAATAAGTTTATTCCTTCAAAGCGAAATTCTAAAGTAATTGAATAAGCCCGAGTGCACTTAGACAAAAGGAACATAGGATCTTCAGGTATTTTTTTATACAGATTCTTATGATCTTATCTAAATTATTATTATTAGATCTAACTTTGTTATATCATCTACTATAGGCCAAGCGTCCTAGGCCTACGTGTGAGTGCAAATCTGTGCTGAATTATTAGCCAGCGGGTGAAACCTTTTTCTACAGATTATTATCTAAATAATTACGCTAATCTATTATTATTATTATACCTAAGGTTAGATCATCTATATACATAGCTCTAGGCCCCTAGATCTATATAATTAATATACCTTATACAGCTATGAAAATTGAAATGTTATGCTAATAATTGGCAAGCACGAAATTGCATTAGAAAATATTTTTCCCCAATAATTTATAAAATTTGTTAGATTTAAATTTCTGGCCCCTCCTTTTTTTTAATATCTAATATTTTTACATGCTGCTAGTGAGAGAACCTGTTGTTAAAATATTTGAATTCCGCCACTGATAGTAGCATATTAGAAACGTTTACTAATGATATTACACTCCTGGCTATTTCTAATTGAACTGAATTTGTCGAGATGCTACAGAATAATTCAGATCAATTGATAAGTTGAAAAACTATTGGGAAATAACCTTAAGTTTAATTATAATAAGTGCAAGGTAATACATTTAAGTTATCATAATTTGGATGACACATTTAATATAGATAAAAAAAAAAACCACCCATCAGCACGATTGAAGAAAAGGATCTCTGTTATAATTTGAATATAATACGAGAGGTCATATATTTAAAATGTAGAAAACCAGGCTACGCTAAGATATCTTACTGACAGCAATAGAAATTTCTAAATTACAAGAGTTTATGAGAACAGACGATTTGCTGACAAATAAATGAGTAATTTTATTTTTATTTGTCTTGGAACTAAGTGTGCAGGAGCAAGTTTGAAAGATCAAATGATCCCTTGTTGTCTATATGTTATGTTTACAT